GGGTGGTAGGACCTCTTTCTAATAAGAAAGTTTGTGTCATAATAATTTATTAACTAGGTGGGGGGAGGGGGAAGGGGGCGAGAGTGGGAGAACAGGGGACTCTGTGGCTATTATGTTGAACTAAATGATGTTGTAAAATAAATTTACAAAAAAAAAATAATTTATTAACTAACAGGCAAGGATATAGCTATTCTTTCAAGCATACAGAATAAAATGGATACAAATAACAATATAAATTATATTAAAATCATTTAATTTTTGTATTAAATCTTATTTTGTAAAATCTTACTACCCACATCAAACCATTTCAACAGCTTAATGGTCCACAAGGCCAGGCAACAGCTTCTGTATCAGAGAGCATAGCTTTAGCTGTTTCAGCCAAGTGCCTAGGGTATTTGGGGGCCACGGGGCGTGTGAAATCACTGCAGGGTGACAGGTAAGTATAAATCAGGTTTCCACAGACACTAGACTTAACACTGTCTAAAATCTCCAAAGTGAGCACTGGTACAAGTTCTTTCTATAAGCAGCCATTCATTAAGCGTGCTGCCAGGTAGAAAAATAGGGTACAGAGTGCCAGTGGGACAGCTCGGCAAGTTGTCACCACGCCTGACAACCTGATCCCTAGAACCCACGTGGTACAGAGGGGGTCAACTCACTGGTACCTAAGCTCATGTGCACACACAACAATAAAGAAACAAAACAGGATGGGAACCCAGTGACGCAAGCTGCCCCGCTCCTCCCGAGGTCTCCTGCAAACCTTCATGTTCTTACATTGATAGCCTTGTACACCAAGATCCAGCCCTCAGGAGGGAGGAGGCTGGGTATACTCCACCACGTGACTAAGCTGTCACAAAGGAGGGGAGTCCACCACCCCAACAGCACAGAGCCATCTATGGTACACCTTCAACTATGAAGTTTATTAAAGCCAAATTCAAGGAGGTGGGTTACACTGTCTCTTCGACATCTACATCACAAGTCCATTTTACTATTGTGAGCAAAAAGAAAACGCCAACACTTATTTAATATGAATAACTAAAGCTAACATAAATTACATCTGATTTGGGACTGTACTCTTCAATGATCCTCTTTAGGATAGGGGTATTACTGCCTGGCAGCCCAATGCAGCCTTCTCTGGGTTTAATTTCACTGGCACACAATCACATCCTCACTTCCACCTACTCTCTTGCTTTCTTACTTCATTGGTATAGAGTGTGGGAGACACTGTGACCAACAAGGTCTAAAATATTCATTATCAGGTCCTTCACACAAAAACATATGATGGCCTTTCCTCTTTATCATTGTTTCATAAGGAAAAATTCTGAGCTACAAGGTAAAAATCGTTTCGAAAGACATATTCTAAAGTCTACCAATTCCGGTGAATTAGCTAAGAAACAAAGTGCAACAGGCTGTTAATTTGTTAGGGATTAGGCAAACTGAAAGCCTAGTGGATTTAAGAATTAAGGAACATCACAGGGAGGGAGGCGGTGGCGCACGCCTTTGATCCCAGCACCCAGGAGGCAGAGCCAGGCAGATCTCAGTGAGTTCAAGGCCAGCCTGGTCTACAGAGTGAGATCCAGGACAGGCACCAAAACTACACAGAGAAACCCTGTCTCAAAAAAAAAAAAAAAAGAATTAAGGAACATCACATGCAATTCAGATGAACAAAGTGCACTTTACTTAAGGGCTGAAACTCTACTAGCCAGATACAAAATGTTGTGAGCTCTAGGACAGTTCAAAGATCTAAACCACTGCCCTGCTCACACAAAAATAATTATCCATATGCTAAAAAATAGAATTCCTAACCCAAAATAGTCCCTGATATGCAAAGGATGAAAAGTATGGCTTATTAACTTTTAAAAGGTGGCCATTACTTAAGACAGCATAAAGTTCTCTATAATTTTCTTGCCTGAGAAGGTCATAAGAGCAGACTGGACTGTGGGCATGGCAGAATTAACGTCTTATAAAGATTCCAGCAAGATGAAAATTGAATTTTCATATTCACTTATAAACAGCCAGGAATTTTTTTTTAACTAATAAAAACCCAGGGTCTAATTTTTCAAAACCACTCTACTGAAATTTTATTTTGCATCTTACTTAAAGCTGCCTTTGATAGAGATGACATAAAGGACAGGTTCCTGCAATCTGCAGGTGGTAGAAAGCTGAGAAATCAGAGATCACATGCACTGGTGCTGAATGGGAAAGTCCTTCTTAACAATAACGGATGTGAAGAAGACCAGTGGAGGCACACACCTTTAATCCCAGCACTCTGGAGGCAGAGGCAGGCAGATCTAAGTTCAAGGACAGCGTGGTCTACAGATCAAGTTCCAGGATAGCCAGAGTTCCAGGACAGCCAGAACTACACCGAGAAATCCTATCAATCCTATCTCAAAAACCAAAAAAGACCAATTTTTTTTTTTTTTTAAGACAGAAATATTTCTCCGTGTAGTTTTGATGCCTGTCCTGGATCTTGCTCTGTAGCCCAGGCTGGCCTCGAACTCACAGAGATCTGCCTGGCTCTACCTCCCAAGTGCTGGGATCGAAGATGTGTGCCACCACTGCCCAGCCCAAAAAGACCGATTTTAAGTGAAACTCAAAACTAACACTTCAGTGTTGGTTTTTAATATAGTTCCCCTACAACATCTACCTAGAATGTCTTTCTGCTCCACTTCATGTCCTGTGAGCTTCATCCCTCAGGACCCAATTAGATAGTCTCCTACTTGATGAGG